GGCCCTAAGTTAAGGACTAGTTGCATACACTGTATGGCAAGGCAGGGTTAAAATATGGGAGTTGTCTGAAAACAAGAGAAAGTCCCAGCACAGGGGAACTTGTTTCATTAGTAATACTAACAATTAAAATGATCCAATTTGATATGAGTTAATAATGTCCAAAGCAGGATTAAAATACATAAGTAGCAATTAGTAGCTGAGAGAAAAAATGTCAGTAGAGAAAGGGAGAGTTGCTTCTAGAACACACTATTTTTTAAAATTCCCTTTTGGTTGTTCTGCTTTTAAAAAATTTTTTAGAAGTTCTTTAAGAATGTACATGCAATTCTTTTTTGTTTTTGCTTAAGTGTCTTAATAATAAAGATTTTTTTCTTTAAAAAAAATCAATAAATATTGGATTACATCTTTTTCTTTGACTCTTGGACAAAGAAATGAATTTATAATAAAAAGACTTACTGTTCAGCACCAGAAAGACAAACATATGACTCCAAACTATAGAATTGATTATTATGGATGTCTGCAATTAATTATGGCATTAATTTATTGAAATATGTGTCTTGTATGTTTTTGTTTCTTCTCTTTACCTTTTTTCTCCCCCTTTTAAATAAAGGGTATGGATTTTACCTGTCCAGTTGTGTCCAGACCTAGTGGCCAATGCTCATCTTTGTTTCCTAGCCAAGGGAACCAGCATTGTTGGAAGACTCTTCCATGATCATGTGGCCAGCATGACTGTACACTACCTTCCACTGAAGTGGTACTTATTTATCTATTTGTATTTTCATGTTTTTAAACTGCTAGGTTGGCAGGAGTTGGGGCAAGTAATGGGAGCTCACACCATTGTGCAGTGCTCAGATCTTGAACCCTTTTATATTTCTGTTAATTTTTTTTTGCATTCAGTTAACAATAATTTAAAAAAAAATCAAGCTATCATTGATCATCCAGACTTTCCTAATTTGGTATGAGTTGGACAGCATTATTGTGAAGTCTGACCGCAATGACTATGTATTAGATGTTATCCCACAAATTAGCTAATAAACACAAGTGTAGATTGTTGCATAAACCCACCCTGCATAATTAAGATACATGATGTTGTATGAATTAAATCATGGCATCATCATGACTCAGCTTGTCATATGAATACACTTTGTGCACCAAAGTGTTTTCATGAAATACATACAGATAATCCTTGATTTATGACTACAAAGGAGCCCAAAATTTCTGTTGCTAGGTAAGACAGTTGTTAAGTGAGTTTTGCTTCATTTTACGACCTTTTTGCACAGTTGTTACGTTAATAACTGCCAAACTCTCCCCCTCTGCTCTTTCAGGTGCACATTCCAGTCCTGGTCATCTAACATGTTCTTAAAGCTTTTTCAAAAATCAAAAGGGATAGGGCCAACTTAATTTTTGGAAGCATATTCTGTACGGAGGGCATCACAACTGAGAAGACACGTGTCTTCAGACACACCAAATGTAGATCCATAGCCATCCTAAAATTCTTTCAAGAGAAATGGGCAAGTAAAGTATGGTGCAGCAAGAGCCATACTGTAATCAGACATCTTTCCAATGCTGCTCACACACCTCTGCACCACTTTTCAAGTCTAAATTGTGCATATTTCTCCAGAGATCTTCCTGTTTTCTTCTATGGCACTATTTTTTCTATGGCATTTTTCTTGTTAACTCATCCTTTAATTTCACCAAATGCATCAACAGGATTCTATACTTACGCTTCTACCAATATTGAAAAATAGATAAAATTCCGAGTAACACTCATTCAGCCAATTGTTTGCTGATTTCCTTGCTGAGATCATGCTTCATAAAAATACTGACAGGTAGATGAGCTCACAAAAGAGAAGTAAATAAAACTAATTGGACTAAATGAAAGCTATTCACAGAGATTTTTCTCTGTGTGTGCACTGAGTATACTGATTCTTGCTTGTTGCAGACTAGTAGCTTAGATCTGATTTTATTTTTATTTAACTGCATTTATGTAGCTTAGGTTTAGTTTACAATATTTAGTTTGCTTATTTTATCTTATTTAACATCACACCTGTTAATTAAGTTTGCACATACTTTATTTGTTTATTTCTTCATGATATTTAATATATTTGTTTAGTTTAATTAGGATTAGTTTAGTTTAGGACATTGACTTCATCATGGAGACATTCCAATATTATGCTGGGAAAGCCCTCTGAGGTAAGAGGTGTTTTATTTATTTATTTACTTGTAAACTTGCATGACTCTAGAATTTAGGATTTAAAATTTTGACAGGTAACATGACATAATGATAATAAATAATGAAATAAAACAGGAATCAAAAGAATCTAGGAACAAGCAAAATTGTTTTAGAATAATTTTTAGAATAACTTTTGAACCTGAATATTTTAAAAATATTTCTACATCTTCTTTCAGACCCATTCTTGGTGATTTCTGTTAATATCTTCCATTTAAACACATCCACGGGATAGCTTTCCAGAAAGGCTGGCAACTATGGCTCTATGCCTTGTTTGGGATGCACAGAAAAGCACATAGTCGTAGGGCTTGTTAGAGTCCTCAAATTCCTAATTAATTTTTAACATTGCTTGCCACATTTAAATGTTATATACGGTGCTTATGTTTTAATATTTTATTTGTACAGCTCCTATAGTCCTTCGGGGGTGGGGGGGGAGAGATGGGCAGGTCTCAAAAATGACAATAGTGTTCTATTCCCAATGATACACTCAACTGCATTAGCCATTAGTCATGGTTAAGGGGCATAGGCATGAAGCACACAGCAGACAACAGTTAGTGAACACCGTCGCTTCATTATTCCATGTCCCTTTTTAGCACTGGAGAAGGTTCACCCCTTTTTCAATTCACCAGGTGGATGGCCCAAAGTAGTGGGGCAGGGCAGAGAGTCCTCCTTCTTACTGTTTTTAGCTGTGACAGGTGCAAACAAAATGGTGGAAGGGATGCTGTCCCCTCCATGATATACCTGCTCCCAGTACAACCTATTTATTTACATCATTGTTTGTACACACAGTCCCCGCTGCACAAATGAAACGCCTGAAAAGGAAAAACAACTTTCAGAAAGGCAGCTTCTCAGTCCCTAAGAATTGACTATGGATTGGAAAAGGGTTTTCACATTAGGAAGGAAAATGGCAGAAATGTTAGCATGTCAAACCGTGGGGTTGATCCCATGGCCATGATCGTACAGGACAACACATCTACTGCCTACATGGAGTCAAGAAGTGATTGAGATAGTCCGCTATAATGTTATATACTATGAGCACATTGTGAGTTTCATCACATGTAGGCTAGATACATTCTCTATCTGCTTTTTTGGCAATTTCTTTAGGGAAATTGTAGAAAAAGTGGTGGGACTTCAGACTTTGGCAGAAATTGCACTGGTTGCCCCTGGTGGATGACAGTCTTAGGACCTGCTTGGATAAATGCGTCCTTCTTGGTTCGTTTACATTTCTAGGGGCCTTCAGTATTATTAAGCAAAGTATCCTGGACTGCTTTCAAGGGTTTGAGGTTGAGAGCAAGTAATGATTCTGCTACTTCTTGAGTGGATAGTCCAATTGATGGAAATAAGGGAGAAGTCACCCAGTGGCTTGACTACATGAAGCTGCTGAGGTGAGCTCATCTATCAGTTTAGGATGTAGAATCACTGATATACTGATGATAACCAAATCCCTTGGATGTGCCACGTGAAACTCCTGACCTAGTATTTGGCGGCTGTTAGGCTGTAAATGAACAAGCTGTGATTGAATCCTGTGTCCAAAAAAGCATTTCTCAGTTTAACATCACTATGTACAACAGTAGAACCAGAACAGTACGTGTACCAATATCTTCTATGATAATCAGCCCAGAACTGTATTAGAAGAAAGATGGATAGAAACTGGCACAGATTGGCTGATGAGTTCTTGACAACGTACAAACAGTTGCATAAAATCCATGCAATTATTGTTAGTCAGGAGGCCCAAAGTCACCTTACACCAAACTAGAGATGGGAGGATTCTAGTGTCTGACCATGCTGTCATCAACACAACCTCGGAGGCATTGTCAACTTCAGCTGTCCCCGCAGCTGGCTAGAGGCAAAATTCAGGTGATGTTATGAGGTTGTTTCGTAATAGTGATTAACAATGATTAGTGAGGGTCTTCATGCTATTTTCAAATGATATGAATACAATCTGGCAAATTGTGTACAAAATCTACTTTTTTTCTCACACCAACTTCAACAGACTCACCCCTTCCCAATAAACAAATAACTAAAACCCTAAGCATTGTTTCAGTTCCTCACATATCATTTATATATATTAAGAATCCAAATCAAATTTTAATATAGTTCCTTCCAGATCCCAGTTTTGAGATAAAACAGTTTCTTAGAAGGATTATATGCAAGATTAGTATTTTAAAAATATATTTAGAGCTAGAGGATTAAATTTTTATTCCTGACAGATTTTTACAAAATAATTATTCAAAATGTCTTTTTGGCAGTACTATCTCCAGAAATATAAGCAACATCAAAGAGAAAAAGATGACTAACCAACCATATTGTTTGTGTAGGTATCTGTAGCAGGAGTGGGAACATAAGGGCAGTCCTTCCTCTGTACCAAAGGTGGGTGGGAAATCCTTCAGAACTACTGTCTTTGGGGGAGGCTCCTTTAAGTTAATGGGAAGCAGATGCAAAAAGATCTGTTTCTTTACGCTAATAACACACCTCATTGCATTTTAAACTGACAGTGCCATTTCTAATGACCAGTCTTAAATTGCTGTGTCAATGGTGGCTTAATATGTAATGTTCTTCATGAATATTGTGTAATAGCACAAGTGTTTTTTTAAAATAAAAATACAGAATAAGAGGAGATGAAAGAAATAAAGAGAAAAACATCAGAAGACAGCTGAGAAAAAGTGCCATTGTCCCTTACAATTCTGTTTTAAGCTTCTCTTTTTGTCTACTTATTTGTATTCTATGATTGATGAATGCTTCTTGTAATTTCTGCATTTTAGTTGGAAGAAGAAAACAAAATTTTAGCCAGCAAAGTTGCAAGCCTTGAGAAAATCACTCTTCGAAAAGAAATGAAGAGGAAGCCCAGGATGTGAGTTTAGTTTTAAATTAACAACTTTTTAAATTACTTTCATATTAAAAACAAAAGTGATTTATATCTTGTTAAGTTTAGCTTTAAAAGTACTAGTTAGTTCATTATTTTTTTGCTAGGGCCTGCCCAAGAGGAAGAAGACATTTCTGATGAGAAACAGCCAGCTGGAAAAAGACCAAGGAAAACATAGGTACTATATAAACAGGGAGCTTGGATTAAATGCTGTGGATATACAGTAGTATACTTAGAGCTCAGTAACACATTTGACAAAGTAGACCACAGCCTACATCTTAATAAGATAGAACAATGCTAGATAGACAGTACTACCACCAGATGGATTCGTAATTGACTAACCACACTCAACATTCAGTCCTCAATTAAACTACATTTACCTGGAGAGGTGTGCAATGGTTTTGTCTTGGGCCTATGCTCTTCAACATCTTTATCAATGATCTAGATGAAGGGAAGGGGACCTCAGTAAATTTGCAGGAAAAAAAGAAATGCAGAGGCATAGAATAGACACTATCTAGCTCAACAGTAGTAGCTGAGATGAATCTAGCTGTCCTAGTGGACCACCACTTAACTATGGGCCAGCAGTGTGCTGCAGCTTCTAAAAAAGTCAGTGCAGTTCTAGGATGCATCAACAGGGTAGCATCAAGGTCACAAGAAGTGATAGTACAGCAATTAATCAATGAAATAGCTTGCTTCCCAGAGTTGTGGGTATTTTATTCAAGAAAAGATTGGACATCTATTTGGAATGGTATAAGAACTCCTGCTTTGGGCAGGGGGTTCGACTAGAAGACCTCCAAGGTCTCTGAATCTATGATTCTTGGTGATGAGATGAGATATATACTACTCATTTGTATCCACTTACTTTTCTCTTCCCCCAGGGAGTGGAAGGAAATGCTGACAGCAATGATAGAAGACAAAGAAAGGGAGTACAATTATGTTTTAAGTGAATGGAACCCTCCTTTCAGAGCACCACTGAAGTGCATATTTAAAGTCTAAGGTGAGCTACTGAATAAAATGGGAAAACTTCCAGAAATGTTGCTAAATTAAGACCTCATGTTTGAATGTTTTAGGGTTTACTTACATTATTACATACCTGCATTTCTGCACAACAGCTAAATTGCCCATGTTTGACATGGGACAAGTTCAGCTCACAATAGATTCTAAGGATACTCCTAGGTATATCTACTAAAAAATGTTTAACCACAAGATTCCATATTTATTGAACTAATGTGAAAATCATATTGAGAGGCAGTTATTTCATAGATTTACATAGGAGTCATACACAAAAGTGAAGAAAGATTTCTTCTGAATTTTTTCATGAATTTTTCAAATTCTGAAGAATTCTATACCAGGGATGTGGAAGAGCCAAGGAGGTCCCATAATTAGACGATAACATTCAGCCATAAAGTAAGGGATTTTAGACAGAATACTCTCTCTCATGGCATTAGAAGTAGAATTTAGATGGCTTGTTTTGATCTGCTTAGCTGAATTGTTCCAAAGGCAAATATGATGAAAAATCTTGATAATTTCTGCTGAGAAGTTATTATTCAGCTTATTGTCTCTTTCAACTTGGCTAGTTTTGAACAGCAAAAATGCTGTTTGGTTTAATGTGTTAGTTATCTTTTTCACTGAAGAAACACATATTTTTTTAAATATAAGATGTGGTTTCTCTTCAAATACACTAACCTACTTATTTTTAATCTATTTCAGTGAATTATGATATCTCGATTTCAAAGATACCTGTACTCCTTTTTTGGGACTCCCCCTGCTTCCTGCCAAGAAGATCAGCAGACATGGAGTTCAAATTCTAACTATAGGCAAAATATCCATTTTCAATCCAATCAGAAACATATCTACCAACCAATCAATTGAAGAGACTGCAGTGAATCAGTCAATACTTGATAAGGAAGACACAGTGCACTTCTGGGTGCAGATATGGGATAACCCAAAGAAATACAACAAGGACACAGCTTGGTTAAAGGAGGTGAATAAGAATAAAAAAACTGAAATGAAAGAACATGTAATAACAGAAATGGTAGACAAAAGAGCAAGGAAGATCAAGAATTGGTCAGCACCAAGTGAAGAGAACTACATGGTTTGGGGGTTCTAACATCTGACTGGGCTAACACTCATGGTTGCCAAGCAGTTCAACAACATACTGCAAGGAAGTGAAATTGAAAAATGGCTAACATCTGGCAAAACTTACCTGATAATGAAATATCCAGTAAAAGGGGCAGCACCAGGGAAGTACAGACCTTATGCTTATGGCGACTCATAAGCTTAAAGCTGATGGAAGCCAGGAAAGGTCTGCTTTCTGTACTGCCCAGTTCTGGCCCTAGCACTGTGTGAGGGAGTTGGCTCCCATTACTCCCCTCAGCTTTTGCCAGCCTAGGAGTTCAAAAGCATGCAAAATGCAAGTAAATAGCTAGTATTCCAGAAGGAAGTTAATGGTGTTTCATGTGACAGCAAGAAGCCAACTGGTGCCAGACCTGCCTGAATGGAAGGCGAAATCATTGGAGAAAAAGTCCTGGATGACACCAGTGTTCTTGAAGAATGTTGTTTGCCACTCAGTGTGGAGCTTGTTCGCCCTCTGCATGGCACCTTGGATAGCATGCAAGCATGAACTAAACAAACTATAATTGTAGACTCCCTGGCACTCAATGTTCAAATGCCGTAAGCTAAGTAAATAAAAAGCCTGCTTACCAAAAACTTTCAAATCACTAACTGGTGTGGTAGCTGATGCAGTCCAACACCTGCTAGCTTGAGTAATTTACAAGGCAGATGAGGCAATCTTAAACCAATTACAAGGCATCATAATTTATGGCTGGTATTAAAGAGGAGGGAATAATTTTGAGGTAACTTAGTACTTTTTAATATTCTCTGCCAAAGTGAGATGATGTGATCAAATAAATTCCAGAGTATGTTACAAAGGTATTTTTATTCTCAATTATTTTCAAAATAGTCATCATAGTATCACAGAATTCAAAGCAGCACAGAGGACATTAAATTATTTTAAATCTGGTACCAAATACAGTTTGAGAAAAACAGCACCTTTTCTTGAAGAAAATCAGGCTTCAGACTTTCGTTGTAATAGCACACAAGTCATTTCACTGAATTTTCCACAGGTACTAACTATACTGTTTCTAGATAGTCTAAAAACCTTTCTGTGGTCGCCCCCGTGACCTTCCTAAACCATTTTCGATTTCCCTTTTCAATCGGAATTGCTTGTATCTTTCAGCCATCAAAATGAGCTCTTCAGGAATCACCTATTAAAATTAGATAAACCAATAATTAATTAGCTATTACATTTTCAATTTCTATAAACTCTAACAAAAATTCATGAAAATAAAATATTTTCTGTAATATTCTATTAATATCTTCTATAAGATTAATAATCCTGTTTGAATCAAGTTAAATTAGGCTTTAGCATTTACTCCTAAAAATGCACACTGAAGAAGAGCTCTTCAGTAATTGCAAAAACAGGAATCAACTTGATACAACTTATCTTTTTTTAAAATCGTCTATATCAGGGGTCCCCAACCACCGGTCCGGGGACCGGTACCGCTCTGTGGAACAATTTCTACCGGGCCGCCGGTTTGCTGGGCGCCGCCATCTTGTTTTGATGAAAAAGTGCTTCTGGTGAGCTTTTCCGGGTAGAAAGCGACGTTTGGGTGCTGAAAGAATCCTCACGCCTTAGTTTCATCGGGGGGGGGGGCGGCGGCTTCGAACAAAACTAAGGCGTGAGGATTCTTTCAGCATGCATGGCAAGGTGAGCCGAGCAATCGTCCCGAAGCCGTCGCAAAGCCCATCGACACAGGTACAAAGGAGGAGTTGAAGATGGCGGGGAGAAACGGGGGACAACTGGCTGGCCGGTCGCTCCGGTCGCCTTGCCATGCATGCTGATGCCGGTACCGGGCCACGGATGATTTTGTGATGCCGGTACCGGGCCGTGGCACAAAAAAGGTTGGGGACCACTGGTCTATATCAGGGGCCCTCAAACTTGGCAACTTTAAGACTTGTGGACTTCAACTCCCAGAATTCCTCAGCCAGCTTTGCCAAGTTTGGAGACCTCTGGTCTACATGTTAAGAAAAGCATTTCGTGTTTTGGAGGTCTTTCTGGAGAATATAGTGTATTGAACTTATTAGCTATATCAGAAGACTTTTGAACTCAGAAGTATAAATCAGTTATCTTAAGTTCTTTATAATTTTTGAGCAATTTCCTCCTGTGATATTTTGTGTAAACAATTCAAGGCTACAAGGGAAAGGAAAATCTGATGGAACAAATTCTCGTCCATTTGTGGAAAAAATATATCTAAACCAAGAAATTCATGTTACTGTAAGTATAAAGTGTTATACTATAACACTGCAATTTGTAGTGAATATGAAAACGTTTGGTAACAATGTGATTAAGCTTTATACAGAAATTTGCAAAACGGCCTATCACAATTTTAAACAATATAATTTAAAACATAAGATAAAACATAAGGTAACCTAGCACTTAAATAACAAAACAGCAAATTAACACACGTTTCGTAGCAGCAACAGATTTTAACCACAAGGTATTCCATAATACAGCAAATATTTACACAAGAGTTCTAAATTCAAATTTGGAAATATCCAATTAGACTTTTATTCAGCTAAGTGATAAAATCGCTTTTGAGATTTTAATCTCAAGTGATTTTAAGTCACCATTTATTCTGCATTCATAAATATAAAACCTGATAAGTCCTTTTTTGTGGCTGCCCAAACTACTACTATGCAGGGTTATCAAGAAATTGATTATGATTTTTTATCTTTTAAACAAGAAACATGGAAATTACAGTGTAGGCACTGAAATAGGCTTCTTTCAATTAGAAAGAAAATGATTCAAAAACGTTCGGAATTGACCTCCAACCCCTCACCCACCCCATGTATACCATGGCCTCACATATCTTAATCCTTGTCTTTCACCAGTTGCTCATTCTGTTCTACGTGATATTTAACTGTCTAGTAGTTGAAAAATCTTTCTCTTGGGGTTTTTGTCTTATACCATCAGAGATACTTATATGGGATCCATATACTTTGAAACAGCTTTCCTACGTATCCATAGCTGTTTCTTTAAGATACAGGTAACATCTAAGTTGTTCTCAATTGTCTTTAATGACTTTTAATGTTATTTTTAAGCAACTTTTTGTTGTAATTAATTTTACCACCTAACTTTTAATTTATGCTTCTTCCAAAGTCATTTTCCAAAGACATTTTATTTAAGCTACTTGAAATTACATGCAAAAAGAGGATATACGTATAATATAAACTATTCAAGTAAAAATTTAAAAATCAATTTAAATGTGTATTTAATGTTTCATATTATTTTAATCAAATAAGGGTAAAAGGAACAGGAAAAAAAAGTAACAACAAGCTTAGTTATGTTACCTGGTTTCCTCTTTTTAAAATGTCAATCAACTCAGATGCAATTCGCCAGTCACTCCTTGTGACAAGCGTTATTGCTTCTCCCTTGCGTCTGTGTAAAAGAAGCAAACAAATTAAAGAAATAACTCATATCTAGGTTTTAATATTTCTGTAAGCTATCTGTATTTATCAAATTTATTAAAATGTTCCATTTTTAAATCATATTCTATCTTTAGACTCTTCAGTAATACAAACTGATCAATACTTTCTGATTAATTGATTTTGCACCAGTGGTAAATATCAAGTTTCTCCTCAAGTAGCAGTTAAGCAGATTATGGCAGGAGAGGAAAATACACATGCTACCTTTATAATTTATTCTGTGCATAAACAGAAAAACAATGCCTTACTGCTAAAAAGGATCCATGTCTGCCAAACATCCATTTTTTAATAGGACTATCAACATTCAAAACATTGGGGGGGGGGGAGAGGGGGGTGAACACAACAAAATGGCAGATTCAGCCACCTCTGCCGGAGTGGGTAAGGAAGATGAACGTCTGGAGTAAATGGTATTTTGGAGACCTTTAATGATGGGACAGTTGCCATTTAGATCCTTGAAGCTCCAGGTGATTAGTGAGAATGGGTAAAAAGGGAGTCGTAATAAGCAATCCATCCAAAAAAGCAATCCATCCTCTTCTGTGCCCTTCTGACATAGCCCAATCTACTTACAAAGGTAGTTTTCCACTATCCAGTTGTGTCTGACTTTAGGGGATGGTGCTCATCTGTTTCTTAGTCAAGGGAGCCAGCATTTTCTAAAGACATTGCTATGGATACCACTATTCTACTTCCATAGTGAAAGAGGTATCATTACAAAGGAAATAAGATATTGCTGAGGTCAGCATGACTATGTACTTAGGGGCACGGAATGCAGTTGCCTTCGTACTTAAGCAGTACCTATTTACTTGCATTTGCATGCTTTCAAACTGCTAAGTTGGCAAGAGCTGGGGAAAATAATGGGAGCTCACCCCCTTTGTTGTCGGCTTTCCAGATGACAAGTTCAGCGTCTTTAACTGCTGAGCTATTGCACCCCCTCTACTCACAGCAGGATCCTTAACTCCGAGAAAAAAAACATTCTTGTAAACCTGACTGGCAGGAAAGTCCAATACTTAAGATATATGAAAGTATACTAACATAGGAATATGTTTTCTTTCTTTTCTTCTTAAGAAACTCTTTGAAATAAATTATTTTTAACAGGAAAAAGAGAAATCTGTTCACCTGATGAATCCCTGTGAGGGGGAGAGACTGCTACAATTCCCCATACTCTAGTGCATCTGATATAAGATACAAGAATATGCTGAAGAAAACACTCATATTTTCTACTTGGTAACAGAGAAACAGTTTAAAGTTTGGCTTACCCAGCTCGTCCAGTGCGGCCCACTCTATGAACATATTCTTCAATGTTACGAGGGAAATCAAAATTAAAGACATGCGTAATATCATGCACATCAAGTCCACGGGAAGCCAAATCTGTCGCTATCAATATGCGAACTTTGCCTAGCACAAGCAAAATAAAAACTGGTAATTTTTCACAATACATTTGAATGAAATGTTACTTATCTGTGGTTTTTCCAGCAGTTGATACTTATGGAAATCTATTCCCACTTGGATTGTTCCAGACCCTAGTATTTTTGATGGGAACAGACATCTTGTCTCTTATATACACAGTTTGAGGGACAGACCTTGCCAGTTCTCTCTATTCTAAACATCAACACAGTGGATCAAATTTGAAACAAACTACAATCAAAGTCAAGATGGCCACATGAATGAATTCTCAGACAAATATTCAAAGGACCAGTTACAAGTAACAGTGGAATAAGAGAGAAAGACAGACAGGCAGAAAAACTGGGCAGGGGGTGGGGGGAGGAGACCTCCTTTCCAAAATCAGCTAGTCTCTGTGTCTTGATTACTTGCATTCCCCCAGGAAGATTTCTTGTGCTTTTCTTTCCCAGTTCAGAAAAAAGGAACTCAGGGAAATTCTCCCAACAAAATGAGATAAGAAGTGAACAAGTACAAATTGATTTAAAAGGATGCAATTTGGTTAATGTAGAATGTGTCTAATTTTTGTAGATGTATGCTATCAAGGAAACCCACTATCCTGAGATGTGTCTTATTTCTTAAAAGGCGTCTAAAATCTGTGATGTAATTGCTTGTATTTAAATTAGACCTGGTCTAGAAAGAAAAATTCATGGCCCTGTCCCCATCAATAGCATTTAATATGAAAAGATCAGTCCTACTTAGTCTACCATTTATTTCACATGTTGTTTAATATTACATGATTCTATATGGAGTCCCAGCATGTGTAATTTTAACATCATAATTTTAACTTGGATTTTACTATTAATTCTCCGTTGAAATCTTTCCAAGTTACTCAAACTCTGCAATAAAGATCTGAATTTGAGTTTATGTGTTTTGATTATTACATAATAACATGTTATATTGATTAATTATGATCACCTTTTTTGAAATCGTCCAAAGCTTGTTCACGATCACACTGTTCTCTGTTGCCATGTAAAGACTGAACAGGAATTCCCTGAAGTCCAAAATCACTTGAAAGGTCATCAGCCCTTTTGAAAAAAAAAATTAAAAGTAAAGCTAATACATTAGAGAAAGGCTTTTAATCCAATTAATGTATCAAGAAATATTTATAGAACAGTTAGAATAAACAGTCAAACTAATACCGTGTTTCTCCAACAATACGCCCCCGCACATAGGAAGACCCAGCATATTTTCTAGGCATAAAATGAAATTAAGCCCCTCCCCCCAAATTTAGGCCTAGTTTAAAACATGCGAAATTGGGGGGAGGCGGGGGGAACTTGCCATTAGGAGTGCCCCGCAGGAAGCTATGCCTCACCATCAGCTGCTCCTAACAGCCAATCATGGTGGAGCATGGAGGGCTCCCTTACCCCCTCCAAGCATCTTTACTGCAGACCCAGGTCAGCAGGCGGGCGGCGTCGGCATAGATGTCTGGCAGCATTTCAGCTGCTTCTCAGGCCTCCGTAGCTTCCACGGTTCCCACCGGTGCTGGTGCCTCTCTCGCCAGCGCCGTCTCCAACAACAGCCGCAGCAGCGGCAGAAACCGTGGAAATGTTTCAGCTACTTCTTGGGTGGGGGAGCTGCCACTGTAGCTTCCATGGTTCCCGCCGCTGCTGCGGCTGTTGTTGGAGACGGCGCTGGTGAGAGGGACAGCTGCAGCTTGGCCTGGGCGCTTGGAATGCAGGAGCAGACTGCGCACAGGGACTTTTGCAAACTTGCAGAGCCCGAGGCTGGAGCACCAAGGGTAGCAGCGGCAGAGACGCTTGCTTGGCTCTTCTCATGCCCACCCAGCTGCTCGGGATTAAACCAAAATGCAGCGCATGGTGCTCCCAGGTACCTCAAAATGTTTTTTTTCCTGTTGTTACGGGGATGGGGGAAAAGTGGGAGCGACTCAGATGCTGTTGTTGGAGATGGTGCTGTTGCATGGGGGGGGGGGATTAATTCACCCCCCAAAAGACATCCTAGCCGTTTTTTCGGGACTCAAAAAAAAATATTAAAAAAATAAGGCCCGGCCTTATTTTGTGAGAAACACGGTATCAGGTACCATATATGCCAGATGACTTATTTTGTTTCCTAAATATTCATACTCTAATACTAAATTTTACTTTTTATTAATGTATTCAAATGAGTACTATTTTTAAAAAAAATAATCACAAGATGGATATCCTGGAGATGATTTTAGGGATGGTATCACTAAACAATCAGAGGTTGAAAAATATAGAAGATGTGTGGCAGAACTGAAATATAATTCATACTACAAATGTTGGAGAATAAAATGCTACTTCTAGATGAAATCCACATTGACAAATATTAGAGTTCTTTAATAACAGTAATGGTGTATAAAAAAACTTTTCCTGTTTGAAGCATACCAGCTTTAACGCTGACTCATAACAATATTCTAATTACGTCCCAGTATGTTCAATGAGTATATTGTACAGTTAAATATTTTTAAATTAAGATTATGGTTTGAATTTTGATATTTGAAAACAATTCTACCATTTTTGTCTAACGTAATTGTTTCTGGCTATTAAGAAAAAAATAATTTCCAAATATCAGTTCTACTATTATTACTATTGTAAAGAAAAAGGGGAAAAAAAGTTTGAAGTGGTAAAAACCACTTGCTATCTTTAAAAAGCATAAATTTAACTTAGCTACGTATACAGGACATGCATTACTCTAGAAAGTTTTAATCTTAATGCCAGTTAAATATTCAAATAAGTGAAGAAAAATGGTATTTCTGGAGGGAAACTGGTAGGTGAACTACTAGAGCAAATAATATTGGACTAGACAGAATGATTGATACAATTTAAGCTCATTTGTGTTAAGCTTTTCTACATACGTAAGTTTCTTTCCCACAAAAATGATGGCCTTGTCATCAGACTTCATAGTATCAACAAAATGATGTGTGAAAGCTCTTTTTTCTTCTTCTGGAATAACAATAATCTTCTGCTCTACTGTATTAACTGCCTGTAAAACAAAGTTTATTACAAGGAAATCTGACTGAAAAGTAATAGCTTATTGCATATATTGTCAAAGCTTCTTATATTGTAAGAATTGTAAATACTCAGATAATGTGGAAATAAACTATAAAATTTAAAAGACTTCTAAATAATATGCATGCTGTTTAGACAGGACATTGCTGAAGGATTATTCCTCAAATAATTATTTTATATATATTTCATTTTGATAGTATGGTACTGAAATTACTCAACAACTTAAACTTTTCAGCAATTGACAAGTGAAATGATATTATTCTATGCACTCAAACTTTGGTAAAATTAGAAAAAATAAAATTATGAAACTTACCTAAAAGGGAAGTTTAGAGTCAGAAAGATTATCTAATTTGAAACTTTTTCACTTTGAAATTAGTATTCTTCTTAAAGTGGGATATTGGTATGTCATTTTGGGTTATTCTCATTTTTTCAAACATAGTCTTTTTTCACATATGCATAGTAAGATCAGACATTTTTGGTATACATTATGGATATGTACAATATTTAATGCTCAGCACAACTCACCGCTAAATCTAGAGTTCCAACATATACAATCATTGGATCTTTCAAGTATGATTTTGCAAGACGGCGGACACCATCTGGCCATGTAGCACTGATGGAATCAAAATAAATGTTTTTTAAAAATTTAAGATTATTATTTCCCCTATTTTAATTCTCTTGCTATTTCTATAAAAACTGCATTTAAAACTTGCTAAAAACAAAAACAAAAAACTCCAAGGATTTCATTGCTATCTGTTTAACTTTTTCTTCCATGTCATGGCATCTGGCATCCTTCCATCTCATAAACTTTTTCTTCCATGCATTCATTCTTTGCATTTATTTAAAAAATCTGATTTAATTTCCAATATTTCTTTCAAAGAGATTAAAATAGCTTTTGAATTATCTGAGCCTATTTGCATTTCAATTTTACAATTCAATATTAAGTGTTATGTATCGCCCAAAATTACATAATAAACTTAATTACTCTGGACAACTAATCATGGATATGTCAATTGAGAAAAACAGGCACCGGTACTTTCAGAAATATGATACCACCATTCTAATTCCATAGTGAAAGAGAGTCTTATTACAAAGGAAATAAGATAGAAAGTGAAAAATTAATTCTTAGAAAAAGGAATCAATTTATGCTAGCACAAACGAGATCTTTATTTTATTAAATTTATTTATTTTTCACATTTCTGTACTGCCCATCCCGCTCAAAGAGGGGTTGTAGATGATGTATAATAAAATGTTAAAATATAAAATAGCATAAATAAAAGTTTTTAAAAATAAAAAAAAATTAAGAGGAGGCAAGGCAGAGGGAGGGATTTCAGGGGACTAACCAACCTCATGGGTGCATGCTTCCCTGGGCTCCCCCAGCAAAGCCACAGAGCCATCCATGTCTTAATTCCTTTTTGGAAGCCAGGAGAATAAGCCTGTCTGTCTTACTTCCAGGGGAAGAATATTTCACAGGGCAAGGGGGCTCTTTAACTAGACCTCATGAGTTGGAATTCTTTAACCAACGGGGTCCGCAACATACTTTCCCTGTCCAATAAATCTTCAGAGAGGGGTTGGGGTCAGAAGGAAGCACTTGCTACTGACAATTTAGTAATAAGAAATATAGAGAGAAGTGTTTACAACAGATATGCAGACAATATGATGACTTACTTGCCTAATGTGAAGATAGTGGATATGAGAGCCCCTCTTTGAGGGAGATGGGTGGTTCAAAAATGTGAAAAATAAACAAATAAAAAATATTCTAATAGATATTACTGTAATAACAGACTTCAATGGATAATTAGAACTGCAGAAAGAACAACTGCAACCAACTTGCCTTCCGTTGAGGATATGTACACTGCGTGAACCAGAAAGAGGGCTGAGAAAATAACTACAGACCCCTCACATCCTGGATATAAATTGTTTCAACTTCTCCCCTCTGGGTGCCGCTATTGGGCATTGCAAGCCAAAACAGTTAAATACAGAGATTGTTTTTTTTATCCCTGTGCCATAACTTTGCTGAATACCTAATTCACACAGCACTGTCTTAGGCCTAGAGATATTTACCCCTTGTAGTAGGGCTGTATTGATATTATCCTTCTCATCTTTCCTACTATCTTCTCTTATTACTATCTATGATTTATCACTTGTTGTATCTCACGATTAATGATATCTGTGATATCTATGATCTATTGCTTGTTGTTTATAAGTACATTGTGAGCTTATGCACCAGAGACAAATTTCTTGTGTGTCTAATCAAACCTGGCAAATAAAGAATTCTATTTTCTAGATAAGGAAACAACCATATGGTGTCAAATATTCTTTCTAGATGTGACAAAGGCTCTGTTTCCAATTTAAAATAAAAATAACTATTTAAAACAGGGGTTTCCAACCATGGCAACTTTAAGCCTGGAGGACTTCAACTCCCAGAATTCCCCAGCCAGCAAAAGCTGACTGGGGAATTCTGGGAGTTGAAGTCCTCCAGGTTTAAAGCTGCCAAGGCTGGAGACCCCTGATTTAAAATGAAAGGGCTACAAAGAGACATTCTTTTTTATTTGCAATGTGATATAAAACAAATTATCTATTTTCTGCATAGCACACATATTTAGGAAATATCCTTCAAAAAGTATATTACAGTACCTGGTCATAACTGTTTGTCTATCAGGACGTATATCTAACAAAATCTTCATTATCTGTGGCTCAAATCCCATATCCAGCATTCTGTCTGCTTCATCCAATACCTATGAAAAATATGGTTAACTGTTGATTTCAATGTACACGATAACTGACATTTGATATAACAATCTGAAAATTACTAATTGTAGACTATATCTCAATATTTATTTTAGTGGATATGTTATCTGAGTTAGTTGCATGTGCTCTTTGTTGTAGGGATTCCTTTATTATTCTTTGGCTCTGCTATCACTAGTAATGTCCTGTTAGTATTTGTAAAGTCCTTAAACTCTGGGTAGAATATGGGGACATAGACATTTGTATAACAGGACCAAAGGAATAAACTGACTTTTAAAAATAATTAAAAAAATATTTTTATAAATGAATTACACTGCATCAGTACTACCCTATATCATCCCTTAAGTCATTCCTAGCTCTGTCTCCCTGTTAGGAGCAGGTATTCTCTGGCTTGGACTCCATGCCTCTCTCTTTTCAAATCCTTTCCTCCAGTTTTGTTCTGCTGTTGGGATATAACCTGGGAGAAGGCACTCCGTGCTGCCACATTTTAAGATAGTTCATCACTCAAACATCACACATGGCTGAATTCAATTTTCTAATTGTCACTAGGCCAGCATCTACTGAAAGAACAGATTCTTTATTACCACATTACATCTCACATCCACACTTTAAAAAACCTTGGAGGGCCCTTTACAGAATATCATAGAACGCTTGTTATTTTCATAGGTAACATTGTCACCAGTTTTAACTTTAGTATGCAACTATATGTATGCTAAAAACTCAACTAACTCATTACTAGGCTGGAATTAACTTGAATTAAGATTTTAATCTGGTCACTGCAATAGTAGTTAAAATTAATTCTAGGTTTGATTCTTTGGATCAATCAATGCTAGCAAAGCTTTTTTCTTCTAGGAAAAAAACATAGTCTCATGTTTAGCCTAATCTCTGATAAATGTTGGGCTATGCCAGAAGTTAGGAAGAAAGTACATCTGGAAATACTAAGTGATATATTTAAAACTCCTTAGATTTATTTATATCTTTCTGATCTATTTAAATAAATAATAAAGAGCAGACAAGCTTTCTGGCGGCAATTCTGCAACAGACCTTTTCTATAGAAGGATCTCCAAACTGGACGATTTTACGACTTGTGCACTTCAACTCCAAAATCCCTCAATCAGCCATGCTCCCTAAGGAATTCTGGGGTTGAAGCCCACAAGTCTTAAAATTGCCAAGAGTCTTGCACTATACAGTACCTATTTTTTTCCCCACGTTATAAGTAGTCCTTGGTTAATAATAGTAAGTGGGATGTGGAACTTCATAGCTAAGTGACGCAGTTGTAAAGCATGTGGTCATGTGACCATGTCAATTTACAATGGCAGTTCCAGTTGCAACTGTTAGGCGAATCCTGCAGGGTAGCAGTATCCTGCTGTCACATGATCGCCACTTGAGTAACATTTCATGTCAGAAGCACCTTGTTCAGACAGGTTTTTTAGGGCAGCTTCACTTCTTATACCACATCTTGACAGTTGAATTTAATAACCCTTATTAATTAAATATATAAGTTAGTCTGAAGAGAAAAATGCATTTTTTTAAATTAGGGGACTGACTACAGAAGTTTCCAGGAGTTTATCAAATTCTGTTCAGGTTGGATTGAGGTTTGAATGGGCTGGGTTCAAATCTAGTCTTAGACAATATTACCAAATTACTTCTGCCCTAAAAGTTTGTTAGCAGTCTAACTCTGTTTTACTGGACTACACTGAATCTGCTCTTTTGGTCTTTAAAAGTGAATAATTTATTTTTATATTATTACATTAACATTCAACAGCAGTAGGTACATTTGATGAACATTTTATTCAGCAGGCATTCCTGCTTTGTGTTTCAAGCTGCACAAAGCATTTATTATTTCAGCGCTTTCTTCTTCCCTATAGGATTGTTGCTGGATTATGGTCTGTTTATATTAGAATTACTTCAACCCCTTCTTACTAATATGGAAAGCAGGGAAGTTATATATTGATTTTTTATTAAATCTTGCAATCTGCAATTTGTAGCTTTTTATTTTTTGATCTTTTATATAAGGCAGCACAATGGGAGTTGAAAACATGTCATGGCAGCCTTTTTATGAATTGCACCATGACACATTCTACGAATTCTATTTGTGCCCACAAACTAAAAAGATTGCAGAGCCTTGGTGCAGTTTAGGCGTATTGTGTAAATGCCACACAAATGTATGTGTGCATATGTCTCTGTCTGTCTAATAGCTCGAAGCTGAACAGGCTTATAAGCAAAAAGGCATTAACTATAGTTAGATTTAGGATCGCATCTGGGTTGGTTACCAGGGTCAGATAATAACTCTTCCGAAAATTCATATCAATGTATGCCACAAAATCAACATAAGCTAGCCTTAAATAAATATATTACCTGTTTGTACCACTGGTAACACAGATCTCAGTGTGTGGTTCTATAGTCAAAACCTCATCTTCACAAAACAATTTCCATAGTTTTAATAGAAAATTAAGGGCATAAGGGACCAAAAAAGCACACCAATAATCATCAAGTAGGATCACTGCTGTCTTCTAGGGAATGGGGAGGTAGAAAAATAAAGAAAAAATGGTACTGAAAACTCTGGAATAAAGCATAGCTAGTTGGTCAAAACACTGAACAGATGACAATGTTTTGCTTCAGGTCTCCTTTTACTATTTAATTTAATTTTATCTCTGTTTATAACCAAAGTTGCACTCACCCACACATAAAAAGGAAACAGTAGCCAAAGTGGTTAGGGCTGGTAGGGAGAACAGCTTTAGGAAAAATGCACAGGGGATCATTTTCATCTCAGCAAGTAAGTATAAACTGAACAAGTCCATGGTTATGTAATGTTGGCTCATTATTTAAAAGGAAAACTGGAGGAGAGAATAGCAATGAAGAGACTTAGACGATGTTTCAGCCAGTTATCAATATATGAATATTTTAACATTCCAATCTAATGGTGACTACTTGCCAAATACGTTATGCTTTTCAGATTTATGAAACCGTTCATTTGCAGGTCATTCAATCTGCCAGGAGTAGCAATAACAATGTCCACGCCTTTGGTAACTGTATTGATCTGTCCTTTCCGGTCTCCACCACCGTATATGCAAATGCTAGGAAGAATGTTTTATTCAATATTTAGAACTGAACTGACATGCTCCAATGTATTTTAATATTTTACAGTCTTCACAAATTTTATTAAAAGACTTTCATAGTTTCCTAAATAAGAGCAAAGGGAACATTTGAATCACCCATAAAATATCTTTAAACTTATTTAATTTTTTTCACTAAATGGAGTGTTGTTTTTTCCAATGTATTGCTGATTTAATTAAAATAGGCCCTTCTTTAAGTTAGATCTAAGAATATAACATTACATATAAGATATAGGATGATGGAAAGGTCTGTTCCCGATTGTCTGTTCTGCTTTTCCTAATAGTTTTGAATATACTGTCAATAGTTGCTAGTTTGTTATAACCATTCTGCATATCAAAATAAGATAATATAACTTTAGAATACAGCTTAACATTTTAGCCATATCACTCTAAAGGTTCAGAAAAAAATGTGCCCTAATATTTGCCAAATAAGAGCATGTAGATTAGTACCTTTTAATTCCTTTATAAGAATATTTTAAGCACTCTGCTTCAACTTGAAGGGCCAGTTCTCGAGTTGGAATGAGAACCAGCATTCCTGGTCCATTGCGTTTTTCTCTAGAACTGAAAAAAGTACAAACTTCTTTAGACAATCAACCTGAGGAAATCTTCAGAAAAGAGAGTTAGTGATAACGGACAGAATAGAGGACACTTAAGAATTTCATTCAGTCCCATCACTGACTTGGAAAAAAGAGGATAATTTCCAGTTTAACTTGCATCCAAATATAATTCAGCTTTAATTCAGATCACAGTAAAGCCATACTCCAAAGCACAATTGTAAAAAAATAAGTAAAAAAAACATACATAATTTACAACCTAACTATATTGTTTGGATCATGATGGAGTCAATGGATTATTCTCAACCTATGATAGGCAGAGCTACTTTATCTGACTTATCAAAAGTAATACATTACAATATAATAGAAGAAGTTGTATTTCATCTTGTTCTTACATTGGTTGTGAATCCAAATGAATGAATCCAGGCATTAAATAAGCTAGGGTCTTTCCAGTACCTGTCTGTGCTATTCCAATGAGATCAAATCCTTGAAGTATGATTGGCCAAGCCTGTGACTAAAATAAGAACTTCTGTGAATTTGCTGAAATGTAAACAGAAATGATTTTGTACTAATTAGATAATAAAGCTGAAATACCTGAATTGGAGTAGGCTTCTCAAAACCAACTTTTTTTATATTTGCCATAATGTCAGGATGATGTTTAAAAGCATCTTCAAATTTACAAACAGGATTAGGAATACGACGTTTTTCACCATCTTTCAGATCATTACACGAAATACTATTGTTTTCTTTTCTGAAATAAAAAAACAAAGTCAAAGAAAAAATGTTTTACATCAGTTTTTGAAATGAGTGCTATTATATGTTTATGCTAGATTAGGAAATTTATGTGCATTGCCCAAATTAATTCTGGACAATTATATAAAAATTTATAATAAAAACCAATGAGAAATTAAATAGTATATGTTTTAGTCTGAAACGTTTAAAGATATAATTCTATACAATGTATAATTCTATACATTTCTTTAAAATGTGTTCCGAAATCAACAGTTGGTGAAGACCAAATGTCTGAATGCTTTGACTCTGAAAATATACATAATGAAAACATCGGATATTCTTACAATAGCTTGCTTGGTGTAATACTTACTATTAGAAAAGTTATAGCCATTAAGTTTATAAATCTTTATATATACATTTAAGAGGCTCTATTTCTGTCAGATCCATCTGCAAATGGTTCTCCAAAACTGAACTTTTCATCCTAACTTTGCTCTGAGTTTATATTTGGGTATATATATAGTCAAATAATATATGATACTGATTATGACAATCAACAATGCTCAACATACCAATACAAATTAACCTAGTAGTCTGCTCTGTGAAAGAATAATGATTCAAAACATACTCATTATCACAAAAAACTGTTCCACACTGCCCATTTAATCCAAGGGCAGAAATGTGAAATTTTTTTCATTTACTATAAAATCTGTTAAAATCTAAAAAGTTTCTAACAAATGAGAAAAGTTTCTAATTTGGAGTTAGAATTTGGAATTTGTAGTGCTGCTAAACTCATTCAGCAATAACAAACATATTAAGCTAAAGTCAAGTTAATTATAAAATGGCACTTTTCATAAATGTAGGAGAGAGCTAAAGAACATAATTAAAGAATCTCAGTAGATAAGGATCAGTCAACCTGATGAGGATTTTTTTTTTAAATAATGGGTCTTCAAGTTGCAAACAATTCAGATACAAGGTTAATTATATAAAAATAAGACTTTATTTTTTTAAAAAAATCCCTTCAACATGGCGCAAGAGCAGCCTCTAGTGGCCTTTATGGATAAATTCATATATGAGCTTTTTTTTACTGAAAATATATGGAAATCAAACCTACAAATTATAGGGGGTTCTGTTATCGTTCAGTATCAAGATCTAGTCCAGTTATAGTTATGTTTCTTAGATGAACAATTTGAAACAATATTTTGTAGCTTTTATGAAAAGCAACTTGTTTGGTATACACTAGAATGGTCCTAGGATACCTGGGGGGTATGTCTCCCAAAATCCTCTCAGGGATCCCAAAATCAAAATTATTTCCCGGCCTACACTGAAAAATATTACAATATTAAAATTCCATCAAACAATTGTGAGAAGCAGTAGTGGCAGTGAATGTGTAAATTTTGGTAAATATCAATAAATATAACTTTTGCAAACAAATGGTTTGGTCGGGATATAGTAGTATTAATAGATCTCCTAATTTGGTTTTCCAGTCCAAAATATCAGAACCTGAATAATATGTTTTAATATTGGTGATTAAGATACTTGGATATTTAGATATCTCTTATGTATATATGTGCTTCCCATTTTAAGAGGAATCATAAAATTACGGCTTTACTGATATGGTGATATTTGAACCCATTAAAAACATGGTAGGAATAAAGGGGAAAAGCCTAATAAATAATTGTCTTCAACTAAAAAAACCCATTATTCCTACCAAAAAAAACTTCTTAGCCTAAACTATATTTAAAATATTTCTGTATGTTGATTCACTCATTTCTGATGAACAAATGAAAAATGTTTTTGTATAAAATATTTCTTCCAAATATATTGGATCTCCCTTTGGTTAGTTTCCATCCATTGCCTTGTCCACACCCATGCTGCATACTAACACACTATCGTTCCAGAAATTTTTAAATCACCCAGAGAATCTTTGGAGAAATTGTGATTTTTGCTACTTATATATCTAGTCCTTATTACTTCATAATATGAATGTATAAATACGTTTTGTAGTAACCGTATTATTAGATACTATTATTAGTAAACTTTAATAATTAGTCTAATTAGCTACCCTAATCAGAATCACAACATACAAATTTGATAAATAAAAAATTATTCCATGGCTACAGTTTTTTGGTTACATAGTGCGCAGGCTAATACTTTGCCAAAAAGGAGAGTCAACAGATACAAACTATTTACTATACCGCATATCTATCTTTGGAAATATAGAAATGGCCCATTTTGGTTTCATGGTAATTATCCATCCATATCTTTGAAGTCTTAACTAAATATTTAGTAGACAACTCCAGATCCAAATATCTAAAAGACCTCAGTTAAATATAATGCATAAATTTCTTTATCCTAATTCTTACCGCCACTTATCAACTTCTCCTTGTGACATACAAGTGATGTTTGGGGCTTCTTTGTAAAAACATTTTTCAAGTGGAGGCAAATCTGTTAAAAGTAACAGAAAAGTTGTTACAAGACCTTCGATTTCTCACATTGTGATTTATAGTATTTTAAAAATAAATTCTAGTCATGAGTTAAATCTAACAATTGCAATGGGGTTGTTTACAGAGAAAACATTGTTTTAGTATAGCTTGCAAAAATTAATATAATAAATATGCAGAAGTTTAAATTTCTTTTATATATTAGTTTTAAAAACATAAAAACTTGAGATTCTTTTCTTGGTCTCTTTCTCTGCCCATTTTGCAGCTGTGGTCTATATTCACTTTTATCTGATCATTCCCTAGGCACCATCTCTTTTGTCTCCCATGGTCATTTCCACATAGCATTACAATTATACCAAAAGCCACATATGTATGGCTCAGGTGCATCACGCTCATATCAATTTACAGATTATACCCAACTCTACCTCACCTTTTCATCCAATACAAGTGAGGTGGTTGGTACTGATAGTCCGAAGTTACCATGGACCTCCTTTGGAGTACTTACATCACCATTCTAAAGTTCCAATAGCCACCACTCTCCCATGGTCATGTGACTGCATTTACGGCTGTTTTCCAGCATCCAATGATCACATAAAAACTAACATTTACCTCTGGTTTTTGGCAAAACCAGACCATTATAAAAAAAATTATAAAATCAGGTTGGTAACAAAGCTTACAACCATAATGGGCAGGCTCATAAATGGACATTTCAAGCACTTGGCAACTGGCTCACATTTATGACTAGTTATATTGTCCCACAGGCCTGTGACAATTTACTCACTTGGAAGAATGGATTCATTTAACAACTATGTAATTCCCTTAATGACCCATTTACAAGCATCATAAAAATGGTTGCAAAATCAAGTCCATTCATATGTTGTCTTCATTTATCACCAAAAGTCTTGTCCCAACTGTGATCATAAGTTGAGAACCACCTATATGCCAGTATTTCACCATCTGGGTCAGAGGTCTCCAAACCTGGCAGCTATGGTAGCTGGAGAAGTTGAAGTCCACAAGTCTTAAAGTTGCCAAATTTGGAGACCTCTGATCTAGGCTTACTGCTGGTGTTTCTATTGGATGTCAAAGGACTGATTTTGACCTTTAAAACCTTCAATTGCTTTGAGGCAGGTTACCTGAAGAAGCAACTTCTTTATGTTTATCAAAATCTTAAAACAATTGACTTTTGATAAATAATTTACCTTGAATGCTATTAAGGTATCATTCATTAAAAAAAATGTATTACACTAACCAATCCATTTCATGGCTTCATATTTAGCTTTATTTTCTCGAAGGGAGGCCCAGTTAATTGATGGTTTTGGATTACAGAATTCTGAATTGATAACCACAGATTGACCGTCTGAAGCATTTCCAATATCCTGGTATTTACAGGAATCTGTTAAAACAAAATCAGCCAGTTATCAAAAGTTTCCTATCAGATTGCCAGACAATTTAAATGAGGACAAATCTAACACTAGAATCACATAGAAAGTGTACCTCAGGGTCACCCAAGGACAGTCTTTATCAATTAAGATATTTTTTTTAAATATTGGGATAGCCCTAAGAAGGGTAGAAATTTTATACTCCACTATTATATACATTTTACAAGCTTTCAATTTATTACTGCTTATCAACAAGTGTCTAAACATTTTTTCATTATTAAATCAATAAATTTAATTTTCTGAGATGCCTATATATAAACATACATATACCACGTTTTAAAGTCTTACCTTTAGTACCTCTTTCTCCTGTATTGTTTTGACTATACCTTTCAATAAGATTGTCAATCAGCATTTTAGCTTTGGGTTGTTTATCTTTTCCACCAAATATCTTTACTTCAGACTCATAATTTCCCTTTATAACCTAAACACAAGATATTTAGATTAGGAATTAAAACTTAGAAATGAAGCAATCTACATACTATAATTGTAGTGATTTAAAGTAAATGACTTAAAACATTTACAAATACTTGTTAAAATATTTACACACACATAAAAATCATTTAACAGACTTAACTATTTAAAATGCATATGCATAGTTCTCTTCCAAAATTCTTAGTTGTTTCCTCCATGACAAGATATTAGGACTGACCATAAAGTAACTTGTGGAGTTACTTGGGAGAATTTTTACCTCAAAGAAACTGTCACATGTAAGAATTAGAACATCTTACCTGTATTTTGCAACCTGAAGATTCTTCAAGCTCCTTAATTTTAGTTCCACCTCGACCTGTTGTAAAAGAAATAGATTTATATGCAAAACAATTTGTCAAGTCTTTTAATATGCATACTACTATTGACAACATTGCAATTTTTTAAAATCAAGAGTAGAACAATGTCTGAAATTCCATAAAAAACCCCCAATAAACTTCAACTAAAAACTCTCAAAAGTTATACTGTTTCACAATCATTTTTCCTTGTTCGCCAATGTCAAGTGATATTGTAGTGATAAATAATTATAGAAGTAAAACAACCCTTTTATTATATTCCTGCTTTTCCTTATTCCACTCATTCTTGAAGACTCTGGGTAACTACCTCCGCAAAGTAATGTCAAACAATTTAAACTACCTGAAATAACCTCAGTATGCTTTACCAAATTATGTTATACTTGAGATGGATTTTCCCTTAAACCCTTCAGAATTCCTGCTAAAAACATTGATATTTAACAAAAAAAAGTACTTCACACAATTAACAAAATGCTACTTTTTAATTATCTGATTTGGCTTACCTGATTAGATTAGATTCTGTATTCTAATTGTCCCTATCTGGTTTCCTGGGTGGTAGTCAGGGTCAAAGCTAGCCTTGGGGAAAGGTGGGGAATGTAAATTCTGTATGGTTTTGTGTTTACTGACTTAATCCTTAATCCTATCAGTTCAGCCTGCCTCAGTCTTCTAATTGGGGTTACTAGAGGCCATTCTGGCTGAGAGGCAGAGATTGCTTTAGCTTCTATGGATAGTTTTTCTGTCTTCTCTGGGGGCATGAAACTAGAGGCGAGGTATCTTATGATTCTTCCTACAATATACTGCAAATTGTAGCATCCATCTTCCAATAAACACACACTTGATTTTAACTTCGTAGAACATAGGGTCTATGATCTACGAAGTTAATTCTGGAGACATAAAATCAATTTGCTAGTAATTATTCTATAGCACTTATGTCTTCCTTATCCTTTTTATCAACTAAATCACAATCAATTTTATGAGATACATTTATTTATTTATATTTGATTTGTCAATTGCTTACATGATAATAGGTGTAAGTATAAACACAGTTATGAATACATGACATGGATACATATGAGAAAAATAAAAAGAAACAATAGGACAGGGACGGTAGGCACGTTGCTGTGCTTATGCACGCCCCCATCTTTGCAAGCAGAAAAGTTTGAGGTACGTACAACTAAGGGAGAATTCTTAAGCTTAGTGACTTCCAGATGTTTTGAAATTCAGGTCCCCAAATCCCCCATCAGCATTTGAGAAAAACTGAAAGCCGAACTCTAGCAAAGACTAAGTTAAGAAAAGCTGAGTAAGAAGCCATCCAAATCTACCTTTTCATCCACATCCTGCTGCAACCTCTTTCATTCCTTTTAGCCAGGGTTACCTATTCAGCCCAGGTATATCATACTGACATGGTTTGCTTGGCTTCGATTCAGGGCATTGCCCAGCCATGATCCGTGATCCCCCCCCCCCAAATAAAATAAAATAAACCAACCAAACATGGCTAAGTCCGACATGTTAACTCGATTTTACCCAATAGATTTTAGACCCAACAGATTTTGCTTCCAGTCCTGTTTAGAAACATGCCTCTACCTATTCCTTAAGTGACGTTGGGTCAGTTACTCTCCCCCTCAGCCCAACGCACCTCACACCTGTTGTTGTTGTTGTTGGGGAGGGTGAAGACAGCAGGAGAATTAGGCTTGCTCGCTGCCTTGAGTTATGTATTTATTTTTATTTTTTTTATTTTGTCAAGCGATTATAAAATAACAGGTATAAGGTTATGGGTTGCATGCATACGAGTGCATGAAATAAGAAAAAATATAAGAATAATAAAAAGGAACAATAGGACAGGGATGGGAGCTTATCCACGCATTCATGTATTAAAAAGGCGGCAAACCACAATAACAACTACTTACCTATGACGGTGCCGACAAGAGCATTAGCCAGGGGGAAGCACAACGGTAGCGATCCCTGTCGCTGCCTTCCTCCTCCTCCTCCTCCTCCTGCCCGATACTCCAAGGCCCAAGGCTGGCGGGCAGATGCCGGCCGTGAACCCCATCTGTTCCCGCCGCGTCTCTCCTCTTTCTCTTTTCCCACCGGTCGGGTATTCAAAGGCTGCGAAGATCCCGCCGTCGCCAACGAATACCATTCGCTCGGGGGAAGCTTGGTGTGGGAAGCGCGGGACTGATCCTCTTCGCCGTCCGTCTCCCAGTCAGACATGGCGGGAAAACACCTTGACCAAGAACAACCCGACGCCGACTTGCCGGTTTAACTTTGCACATGAGGCGGTTTAGCGCTCATTGCCGGCAGCGGCTCCGATTGGCTGGCGCGTCAGTGGTGGCGGGTGATTGGCTGAAGCGCTTTGGCCCTTGAGCCGAAGGTTCCAAATCGCTGAGTGAATCCCCCGGGGGTCTCTTTGATACCTCTTTGATTACCAAATTTGGGACAGAATGTTTTGGTGAGGACGGAAAGTCGGGTTTCCGCCCAAGTTATCGCAAAACAGTAGCCGCCCTTACTCGCAGGTAACCTCGCTTCGAAGCAAGTTGGAATTCCAGAATAAATTCCTCGTGGATTTCTGTTCTAGCTTCCATCCTTGCGAGGTCGGTTAAATGGGAACCCAGATTGTTGGGGGGCAATAGGCTGACTCTTGTTAACGGTTTAAGAGAGTTTAGCAACTGAAATTTGGGGCTCAATTGTGGCCGTAAGTCGAGGAATGGTATAGCTGGGGGCTAGACTAGGAAACCTCCAAAGTCCCTAACAGCTCTATTCTGATTGATTGACTTCTTGTACTGTTGTTTCATAAGTGAATGGGACAGCTGTACAAGAGAGTAGCATAATACTAAAAAAAATGGCCATTCAAGTGGTTGGAAGTTCTGTTAGTGGGACCAAAGAAAATTGCCTGGAAAGCATTCAAGGATGTCATTGAGAATTTTCTTGGCAACTACAGAGCACCAAATTGCATTCAACTGACTGACAAACATCTTACAGTACACTGTATCCATACTTCTTTCCCAAAAATCTAGATGCAGTCTGTAAATGAAAAGTTTGGATATTGCCACAGTAGAAAATGATATCATTAAAAGTTCATTTCATTTTTCTCAATATTCCTATGTAACACAGTCATTCTGAAACTATATTTGTGTTCAGTTTGAAGGGATTTGAAGTACTATTCTGATTTATTAGTATATTGTTCAAATTTATGCTTGAATTTAAATATAACAAAAGTTGCAATATCTGTGGAGTTTCAAAAAACTAAGGACATCGAAATCAAAGATGTGGATGTTAAATATTTTAACTATATTGCCATGCAGCTTTTCTAGACAAATGCAATAATGAATGAATGACAATAAGTAAGGAGTGAGCTTCACTCAGCTAAACACTCAACTAAAGTTGCTATTTTTCAAATATGGTAAACATAAAATGTATGGGAAAATATGATTATATCGAAGATGATTTATTAAAGTATAGATATGCATATAGACCCGGTTTTTTTATTTTGTCCAGGTTTGCACCAAAATACCTATGTGGTTCTCAGGACAAGAAATTCCTTATAGACAAGAAATAATAGGCAAACAGAAATGGCTAAACATTGTGAAATAATAAAATTTGGTCCAGGGGAATACAAAATAAAATCAAGAGAAGAACTGATGACAGAGGGATATAGTTGCCAATGGTTTTCTTATTTATAGTTATCAGATTTAAAGTAGAGTTTATGGATCTAAACATTGTAATACTGAGTTTAAAATAGAATTGGGTACAGATGATAAACATGTAACTACTAAAATGTATAAACTTTTATTGAAATTTTAAAGAGAACAAATGAAAAAATATGTAAAAGCGAGCTAAATGGTTTGGTTCTAATGTACAGATTGAAGAATTGGGAAATACATAATTAAAGGGATTGTAATTTACATTGTACCATATTAAGGAGAATTTTAATAAAATGATATACTGTTGGTATAGAACACCAGAAAAAAATGTCTAAAATGTATTACGGCACTTCAAATTTATGTTGGAAATGTGAAACATAAGAACGGATATTTTTCATGTTTGATGAACATGTAATATTGTTAGAAAATTCTGGATCCAAATACATACACTGAGCCAGAGAATTGTCAAGTTAATATTAAAATCAGAGGTCTTTCTTTGAAACTGATGGCCAAGCAGTTGGAAAAAAGTCATGGAACTTTATATATATATGATAACTGCAGCAAGATTATTGTGTTAATAAAGATGGAAATATTTGGCAATTTATTTCTATTTCCTAGTTCTAAATTAGTCATCTTAGGGATACCTATAATGGAAGAACAGTTGGAGAAGTTGATGGCCAAATTGACTTCTGTGATCAGAAACCTCCCCCTCCCCCCCCCCATGTTTGTTTATTGCTGACAGGAAACTCTTTATGGACTTCTTGCGTGAAACAGGAAAAAAATAAACTTATGATTTTTGATTATTAGATAGAATAGATTATAGAAACGAGAATAATGTAACTTTAAAGATGGAGGTGTGTGTGTGTATGTATGTGTATATGTATATGTATATGTATATGTATATGTATATGTATATGTAT